AAGTAAATAATATAGTAAGTTGGAAAAAGTTTTGTGGAAAAAAAAGGAAAAATATAGAGCAAAGCAAGGAGCTCTAGCATGCAAGAAGATCAAGGTATTGTGTTGCAGTTTAAGCAGGTTGGTCAGGGTAAGCCTCATTGAAAAGATGATATTAGTGGAAGATCTGAAAAAGTAATAGAATTTACCAGTGTGGGGAAAGAGAATTCCAGGCAGAGAGAATCATCCATGCAAAGAGGCCCCCTGTTGTGATCTAGGATCATCAAGGAAGCCAGGGTGGCAAGTCTGGAAGGACAAGAGCAGTTGAAGAAGAGGAGACCAGAGCAGTCCTCGAGGCCAGGTCCTGGAGACTCACAGGTTATTGTAAGGATTTGGCTTTTATTCTGAGGGAATGAGGGAGCTACTGCAGGGCTCTGAGCAGAGCTATGGGTGATATAGTTTACATTTTAAAAGGATGAATCTGGGCTGTAGGAGCAGGGAAGGTAAAAGCACAGAGCCTACTTAGAAGGATATAATCATAATGCAGGTGGGAAATGCTTGTAGCCGAGACCAGGATGTTGACACAGGAGGTAGTAAGGTGTGGTCAATTCTGAATATATAGATTTAGAGGGTAGAGTCAGTAAGGTTTCAGATTAGTTAGATAGGAGGTATGTGAGAAAGAGAGCAAATAAGAATAAATCCGAACAATTTGGTAACAAAAACTGGAAGGGAGGAGATGCCATCTCCTCAGATAGGAAAGGCTGATGGTAGAGAAGATTAGTCAAAGTGGTTGAGGAAAAGAAATCAGAAATCCAGTGTTGGACATGAGTTGAAAGGTCTGTTGGACATGCAAGCAAAAATACCAAGAGGACAACTAGATATGTATATATCACAAGCATATATCTGCAGATTCACAATAAGCCCTGTGTCTGACAGACTCCCCATGTTAAATTATTGAAGGCCTTTTGTTATCTTTAGCTACATTTTATAAGCAGTCACAGGACTGGAAAGGGAGGAGGCAGATGGTAGACAGGAAGCCTCTCCTGACAGTGGAAGCCTCTGGCTTGAGCTTCTCAATGACTCCGCTCTTAGAGAGGAAATCTTTGTCAAACTCTCAGTTGCTAAAACATTCTGTGGAAAAGGTAAGACGTCCAGCAGATAACGTCTTTTTTCTCCTTGCGTTGTTACTTTCTTGTATCTGTTCCTAGTACCTTCACGTTGTTGACTCTTGTGCCAAACCCCCTGCGGTGCCTGACCCAAGTCTTATTTTCAACCATCTTCTCTCAATCTCTTTCCGGGTGTGGAAACATGGAAACCTCCAGAATTACTCCTTTAGCCAAAGTTAGTTTCATTCACAAGGGAGAACCACAGGGTATTTCAAAGGTTGGGGGGTGGGAGGAGAGGGTTGGAAGTTTGGGGAGAGTCAGG